CTGGCGCGAGCGAAGAACGAGGCGGAAAAAGGCCGAGGAGGCGCCTCCCCGGAGCTCATATAGCCAGCAGGGCACGTCCCTGCCATCCGTGCGTCGCCAATCCCCGCGCTGCTCATGACGCACGAAACTGTGACGTCAGCACGCACGCCGCCGGCCGCCGCGAGCGCCTTTCCCGCGCCCTAGAAGTAAGTAAGTGAGAGTCGTCCAACGCTGGGATGGATATCCGAATTCCGGGTTCGTTTGTCACGGTTTCAGCAGAATCAAGAGCAATCGTATAGAGAAAAGTGGAGCCGCGTCCTCCGGCGTGGTTTACGCGTAATGTATTTCCCCAATCTCCGGGTTTTATGATCACCCTGCCAACGTATGCCCCCACGCTAGTTTACTGAATGGATGCCCTTCAGGATCCCAGAGTGGATTTCAATTTCTAAATACTTTCATTGTTTTTTTTAATCTAGCCATGCTGCAACTGTGTTTCTCAGCCTTAGCAACTTTAAGATGTGTGGGGAACCATGCTGGCTGGGGAATTCTGGGAGTTGGAGTTCACCCATCTTAAAGTTGCTGAGGAACCCTGAGCTGCAGAGAACTTTAAACTGAGGCTGCGCTGCTTGTTGCACCCTTACTGCATGCAGACATCCCCCTGGTTTAGAACTGCTCAACGGATAAAGCAATCCCTGATATGCTCGGATGGATCAGCCAAACTGGGCTGATCTCAAAAGCTAGGCAGCGTGACATCTGGCTCACAGCTGGGGGGAGACCGTCCGAAACCTCGAGGCTATCGGCAGGGCTGGAAAGTGGGAATGTGCGCGTGCCCGTGTCTACGAGCGCACGTGTGTATTCGGAGGAAAGCAGGGCCAAGCGCAGGCTGTCCTTCATCACAGGGGCCCGTAGCCACTTTTGGCAAGCGGGAAGCGGCCGGCCTCGAAGAGCCACGCAGAATCGCATCTGCCTCACAGCTGGAGAAGCCGCCAGGCATCTCCAGGCTGTGGGCGAGCAAGCGGGAAGCCGGGCTGCCTGATGCTCTTCCTTGCAGCCTTCAGCCCCGCTGGAAGGCGTCTGACCCACACACAGACACACGGCTGCGGGCGAGCAAATAGGAAGCCGGGCTGCCTACACAGCGGGCAGCCGGTCGCTTTCTTCTCCCGCGGACCTCCGGGAGGGTTTCAGGTTGGCTCGCGGGGCTGTTGGCCGGG